AAAAAAAAAAAAAAAAAAAAAAAAAAAAAAACAGTTTGGTGATAGTGACTATCAAGTTTTCAAATTAACGGATACATAGGGAAAGATTTGGTCGAAAAAAACATAGTTTTATCGATAATAATATTTCGTTTATTTAGCGGGACGACCTGGTTACGTCGCTGTTGAACCGACACTTAGACAGGCGATGCTGTCACTGTCTGGCCTTTTTCCCAACAAAACAACAAATTGCCGCAGTTGTATTCAAATCGCTGACAGTCCGCCCAGTTGTCCACCAGAAACAATCACTAAGAACAATTATTTGGATTATTACTGAAATATCAGCTGGTATATAAGAACGAACAAAGTTCTATTAAAAATTTGAAGTTTTTTAAATTTTTTTTACCCACAGGATTACTGTAACTATAATTATACGCAAACGGGGCAAGCGGTAAAAAAAAAGTGTAAACGGATAAATAACTAAATTGATCAATTGATAGACAGTTGAGTAAAAAAAAAAAATAATGAATAAAAGCTTGCAAAAAGCATGATAATGAGACGAACAAAAACCGTACCTAAATGAACGCAGAACTTAAAAACTAAAGCAATTGAATTTGACGAAAGGGAAAATAGCATAAGAAAATTAAGATTTTCAATGGTACCATCTGAGTAACTGACACTGTTGCTCAGCATACAGTGTTCTACGGTTTATGACTGTATCGATTTCAGTCAGCCAATTCATCGTTTTTGGTGTGGTATTCGTAGAAAAATTGATATTCTACAAAAGCAGCAGGTACAGAAAAAAATACACAAACCATGCTCGAATATGAAAATTTTTCATCAGTTCGTCGCTATGGTTCGTCAATTTTGAGCGCCGATGATTGGCATTGTTCTCTCTTCAAGCTTCATTACTTTTACCAGACAAATAAGCTGCTTAGCACAACATTCAAGTACCTAAGTGACAACCTTTATCATCAAGAAGAAAACGACTACCATACTTTTAACCAATACGATCAACTTGCTTTTGGTTTTTAAATGCCATGCTGTCTATTCAGTCTCCCTCTCTTCCCGAAACCCTCAATTTGCCTATGCACTGAGTGACAACTGACCATCGCTAGTATCATAAAAAACTCGCATTTCCTTTCAAGCTGGTGGCCTTCATAAAGAAAATTCCCTCTTGTCTAAACGGCAAAAACTTTGACCCTCAAATCTACAAATGAGAGAAGCATACATTGTAAGTTTAACCTATTTACCTTTCGACCCAGTGAGATCTGCTTTGATTTCTTTTTCATCCGTAATGCAAATCTATGCAGTTCACAGCACAAACAGAACGGCGTAAAATTATAAACTAGAAACCCTCCTAAAATGAACTTTTATAGTGAGGTAAATAAACCTAACTTTGATGCAAAGTGTCAAGCCTTAAAGCGACACAACAATTACGAAACTTAGCTCTCACCTCAATAACTTGTATTTGCCTTTAAAAATTGAACGAACTGTTCTTGACCACACAACCATTTGAGAAACTTTTATTTGAAAACCTCATTAGATCTTCTAAAAACTCGTGACTACGATGTATTTAAACACACCTTAGTCTGTTAACAAAAGTCTCTCTCCCTTTGAATCATTTGAAAAAGCCAATTAGGCCATAAACTACTCGCATTTACGCAGTAATATTTTCACCTTTTTTGGCAACACTACCTTTGCTTATAATAAACACATTTAAATTCCTTCGACTCCCTCCTTTCCTAATGCCTCAAAAAAGCTAACAGCGTCCTACAAGAATCACCGAGATAAACAGCGTACGACAAAGCCTCATTCTACCAGAAATTAATGACAGGCCCTGGTCCAATTTATAGGTGAAATGGCACTACTGGTCTAAAAAACACCAGTTTAGATTCGCTGTATGCTAAGAGCAAAACAGCCAATTAACTGACATCTTATATACACCATTTGATCTCCTCTAAAAATTAAAAGATAATTATGAGCCGAAAGAGGTATCCTAAACAAATAAAATGATATTTCCTTGCGTTCATTTCCCCAAACGCCAGTAGAACTTTCCAGCTGGCTAACAGGAAACAATTGAAAAAGCATGAAAGATAACAACAAAAACAACAAGTGAAGCACGGGACCAAAGCACCACCTTCACAGTCCTTACAACAGTAGTCAAAAAAGTAAGAGTCGCATCAGAAAAATGTAGATTCGTTTGTAAAAACAACAAAGAAACAAAACAACAAGTTTACATGCGTAAACGTACATATACATTAGAATACTTCATTTCAGGTATTCTAACCAAGCCCCAACAACCGTACCAAACAAAAATGTAAATTCAGGTGTGAGTATCCATCCCCTCCGCTTTCAACGGCTGCTCATTGCTATTCACTTCATCTTCGTACATAGGTTCCATGATTTTATCGACGTAAGCAGCTTCTAACGGCGTTACGACTACACCGTCCCAGAATGTTATTTCGGTTACCAGTTCTGAACGAAAAAATACATGATAAGCAGTTTTTAGAAAAGGACTAGATACTTTCCCGCAAATTACTCTTGACATTAATGTCTAAAACATCTGGAGAAACAGATAAATGCAAAGAACAAATCTTCAAACAAAGTCGTTCCTTTATTAAAAAATAATCGAGAAAACCAACTAAAAGTACCTAGTTTTGACTGTTCAAGGCCCAGTACATTTCTGTAGCCTCCGTGACAAATGATGCGAAGTAAGGTTTGGGCAGCGCTGCAGAGCTGGTCCTGAAAATTTACAGTACAATATAAAGAATCATAAATTTTTGAGCTAACAGGGTAAAAACACTTCATTCACCATCTGCTCATAAGTTAATGATTGATGAATCCTTCGATTTGCCTCACAAGGGTCTACCAGTGCTGGAGAGGTCGGAAGCAAAAGGCCGGCTGCTAAAAGTTGGAAGAATCGTCTAAAGGACTGGCTTAATGTCAGTGGCTGTCGGGTAGCTGTATTCATAACAGCATAGTGACTCTAAAACTGATTGTCAACAATTGTTTAGAATAGCTAAATTAAGATTTTGAATTTAAAGGGAACTAACAATAAGTTCGATACTCCAAACACTCAACGCCTGAAGTTGTTCAAATCGATTCTTGATGTCTTTTAAAACGCGAATCAAATTCTACAATATAAACTGATAAAAGTGAGGAAAAGAATTAAATAATAACGAAGAACAAAAATGACGAGGTCAAAAAATATTTCAGGGTTTTAAATAAGCCAGAACCCACTAGCTAAACATCAAATGGAGTGGTTTTTAGTTAGAATATCAGGAAAGTAAAACTAACTTTAATTGTTGTGTCAGTAGCATTTTCGTCGAACCAATTAGCATGCCGAATAGCAGCAAAGTGAGCAATCATAACTGACTCCTTAACTGAAAAAATAACCTTAAAAGGTAAATTTGAAATCTACTCAGTAATTCAATGCTCTTTCATTTTCCAAAGAAGCAAACAATTGAAAAAAAAAAAAAAGTAGAAAAGTTTTTACGATGAAGATCTGGATCTAACAAGCGTGCATTAGACGGAACCGTGGTTATTAATAGGCGAACAACAGCTTTCTGTCCTGTGATTTCACAACCGAAATCCCTGGTAACACAACCATAGACTAGAATTAATAAAAACTAAGCTGGTAAACTCCAGTACTCTCCTACAGAATTATTTAAAACATGTTTCTTCATTGTATACACCATAAAATAAAAATACCTTCCTTATCGCTTGCTTTTAATCCTTCCAAAACCCTTTGGCCCAATGCTGATACAGCCTCAACTGAAACACAGAACACAGTTGAAATCTGCACCCAATACTTTGCAGAAGCGAAAAAACAAGCAAAGATAAAAAAGTAAAGCAATGATAAACATGAAAGCCCTCCAATACAATTTCACGCAAATGAGACAATGCGGTAAGTACGACAGAGCAAGAGAAAAATTTTTAGCAATTCTTACTCGTGGGCAAAGTTTTAAGAACTACTACTAAATCGGCAGTGTTGTGGCCAGCCAGCATTGTGTCCTTTCGATAAGAACCGACTTCACGATACTCATCAATTACCTTAAAATTTATAATTTATAAATTTTGTGGCGAAATACTAGTGCCGGCAAAGCATCCTTTATATAATAGGTTAAAAATTGAGAAGCCTTTAAAAAAAAGTGGAGTTCAATTTGGGCGCGACAGTGAAAACTTACAATCGAAGAAACCGTATCAGGATTGCTGGCAATTTTTTTAACTTCTGCTTTCACCTTATTCATCAAAGACTGCACAGCAGCCATTTCAACGGGAGTGGC